AACGGAATAAAAATCATGAAATGAATAAATGAGATGATAAAATGTTTCAGTAGTTTTACTTTTTTTTCGGCAGCCGCAGATTTTTCTCTCAATGTGTTTAGTGTCTGTCAGTGTCTTTGATCTTTAAACGGTCTGCGCTGGGTCATGTTACATACATGTGCTGACACATGAAACACGCAGGGCAGATGCCTGAGGTGACGAGGCGTTCACAGTCTGTTCGGACTTTTCACACTCTCTCACGCCGTGTTTTTAATTTAATAATAAAATGCAAAGTGTATGGAAGATGTAGAAACTAAATACATTCAATAAAAATGACTCATTTGAGTCATTTGCTAATATGAATGTGTTTCATCCATATTCATGAAGAAGCAGAGCAGGAAACTAGCTGTTCACATTAAATTCAGACTCATTGTGTTGGTTCTCATTTAAAATAAGGTTCATGTGAGTTTGTACTGTTTAGATGCTGGTTGTTGATTTGTTTGATTTAAATGCAGCAGGCGACGTACCAGCGGTTTGAGAGGGTTTTGCAGCTTAAACGTCTTCTGTGTGTTTTTATCTGTGAATCCAGAAAAAACTGAGGTTAGTTAGTTTCTAATACATTTAATCGACCAGGTTAACATGTTCACAAACTGAAATCCAGAGAAAAACAAGTAACAGGCAGAAGAAATATTCTGACTCGGAGGAGACGACATTGATGAACAATCCCGACCAATGAAAAACCTTCGACTTCTTCTGGTCAAAATGAAAACGTACTGTTCATGTTGGTGTTGTGAATGACTGGTTTGCTCCACAAGCCGCTGCGGTCGTCCTTATTGGATCGGACGCCGAACTCGTAGGGCGTGTTTGGTTTCAGGTTGTCGATGACGGTGTCGCTGGTCGGGCAGGTCTGATAATTCCACTTCCTGTTCCTCTCTCTGTAGCGTATGGTGTAAAACCTGGAGACACAAAGACGGCGGGAAGGAAATTTAGCGAGAGAAAAGTCGTGAGGGTCGAGAACATTGATCGTTAATCATCTTATTCAACGTGTTTCAGCCACCACTAAAAACCACAAATCTGCCTAATGGTGGCGCTATAGCAAAGGTCAGATGAACAGCAGAGTGAACTTGATGTAAATGTATAAATGTCCGTATATATCGATTTCTATGCGTCTCTGACCCGTCCTCCAGACACTCGTTCATGATGTTTCCTTCGTACGGCGTCTTCAGGTAGTTCCCCCAGGACAGCAGCACGGCCGTGGGGCTGACGGAGCCGATCACCAGGTGCAGCGGTTTCTCCAGGTTCACTTTACCTGTGCACAGGTGAGGACAGGGTAAGACTTCCTGCTGACCTGCGGCTGCGCTCTGAGCCAAACAGGAAGTGCTCATTGTACCTGTGCAGTGCTTCTTCACATCGTTGACTGGGATTGGCTGAACGGCCACCAGGTACTTGGGCTCTGCGTCTGAAACCAGACGTTAACAGGGTTTTACTCTGATTGTATTTTGAAAAGACAGGAACAGGAAGCAAGTGACCAGCGCTATGAGGAACAGAATCAAGTCCCAAAGGTCAAAGTCAAAAGTAAAGCATCCACTGTGTGTACTACGTGTTCTAAATGTACAGTGTGTACTACATGTTCTTGATGTACTTGTACTGTGAAGTCGTTGTGGAAGTGGCAGCGTGTCGGACATTTGCTGGACTTTGTTCAGTAAACGTGATGAAGGTGATGATGTCGTCAGGGACGAGGTTGCCCCCCCACCAGAGAGACAGGAAACAGACGCACACGTGTGAACGATTAGAGCGAACACATGTGAAAACATTCAGTCATGTGATTCTCATGTTTCTCACGTCTCACTTTTCTCTTCATTTGTCTTTTTTGGGTTTTCTTCAGATTTTTTTATTTCAAATCGTTTTGTTTTCATAAAAACTGTTTTATTATTTTTCACCATTAAATTCTCTCTTTGGTTCTGATTTGTCTTTTCAGAATAAAAGTCTGTGAATGTTTTCAGTTGTGAAGTGAAACTTTGACCTTTGATCTGCGGAGCTTTAAAAAGTCTCTTTTGATTTCTTTTATCTCTTCAATAAACTGATGAAAACTTTATTGACATTGACACCAGTTTGTAAAGTTTTGTCTTAAAATCAAAGTCAGAGGACGACGACTTGTTCGTCTTCTTCTCTTCGATAGACATGCCCCGCCCCCTCCTGACCTCATCAATCACCTGTCACACAGAGCGGCCTCTATTTAACTATTTGTTGTTAAACGTCGTCTCTGACGCACTAAACATATTTATCTGTTATTAACTGTAATGAAGTCACATGACACTGCTGCAGCCACAGGTTGACTTCCTGTGGTTTGTATTTAAAGAGTTAACGCTGCGACGAAGGTTTGAGACCCGCTCCGACACGACGTGTCTGACAGACGACCTCGGGACAGAAACGACCACGACGAGAGACAAAGACGTGATTCAATGAAAATCCTCCCGGTGGAGCTGAAAGTGTTTACGTCCCCTGCAGGACGTTTGAATTATTACAGAATAAAAACCACACGCTCCGACTCTGATGTACTTCTGCTGTTTCTACATACATGATCATAGCATGTTCATGAAAACACAAACTTTCCTTATTAGGAACATAAATAATACATGTGAGGAGGAAAAGGGTGAGACAAAACAGGGTTTCCATGACAACCAGGTTTAGAACCTCAGCTTCAGATGAAGAAAAACTTTTAATATTAAATAAATGAAGAATAATAAAAACTGCTCTCACCCATCTCGGCCTCGTAGGTTCGTCCATTCTCCGGCAGCTGGATGAACTGTTTGGAGAACACGCTGCTGCCGTATCCCAGGATGTAACCTTCCAGCTTCACGTCAGGGTTCGGACGGACGAACTTCATCACGATGGTGTCGCCGGTGGCGTTGATCCGAACTTTTATGTTCTGACGATGAACTGATGAAGACGAGGAGGAAGAGAAAAGACGGGAGGGTGTTTAAAAAAGTAAACAAACTTTCTTTACTGTTCGTTTACAAACGATTAATATGAATGTGAAAATAAAACGATTTTATCTTTTCTAAGATTTTATCTCAATCTCAAACTAAGAGTGTAAAGAGTGTGAAGAGTGT